CCTGGCCCCGCTGCCCCGCTCCGAGCAGGGCGAGGGCGGAAGGGCCTCCACGTGATCTGTGGTTTAGGTGCGACTTACACAAATCCCTCCTAGCAGAGCCCCAGGCCTCGGTGCGCCTTGTGCTCACACGGGAGTTAACAATCGGGCTTGGCAGTTGCGGAAATCTGCTTAATTTTTCCATTCCTGCGCACAGTTCTCAGCAGCAGCTGCTGCTCTGCCAGGGTTTGCCCTCACCGCCCTGCCCGCCCCGGGCACTCACCTGACCTCAACCTGTTCACTCTCTGACTTGCTCGGCATCCCTGGCATCCCTGCACTCACCTTTGGCAAGGATGGGAAAGCGACACCGCCCTCGGCTAATGGTGTCAGCGCAGCCCAGCCAGCTGCAGCGGGAAACAGGAGCTGCAGGCCGGGAGCAGAGGCTGAGGCAGGGCAGGGCGAGGGCAGGACAATGCCCACCACATCACTCCCCTCTCCCTCCCGAGCCACAGAACGTACCTGGCCGGTGGTGAAGGAGCCCTCAGCCTCACTCGGGTCTCCCTGGGGTCCGAGGCACTGGGGGGACACAGCAAAGCCCTGCAGAGCCCCCCGGGCACAGGCACGGTGCCAGGGACAGCCCTGGCCAGATGCCATCCCTGCACCTTTCCTGCATGGCCAGAGCTCGAGGAACATTGATGGCTCTGAGAACTTCTGGCTGTGTTGGGCTGGTTTTTCTCTCCAGTAATTACCTGACCTGTTGTTGCTTCAGCGTGGCTTTGAGTAGCCTTCAGATTCCCTGCTCCTGGACGTGATGGAGAGACACAGGCAGCAGCCCTGGGCCTGGGGGCTCACTGGAGTGGGTGCCTGTCCCTGCTGCCCCTCAGGCACAGGTCAGCACTGCAGGAGGACGGGCGAGCCCTGGGCAGAGCAGTTTTCCAGCCCTGGCAGCCACCAGCCAAGCCCTGAACACCCACAGAGCCCTGGCACCAGCCCTGCAGCCACAGCTGCAGCCCTGTGTCCCCACTGCTGGCACTACTGGCTGTCAGTGCCCTGCAGCAGCTGCTGCCACAGGCTGGCCATCCTGACAGACACTCACTGGGACAGTTCTTGTTGGGACAAACACCAGGGGCAGAACTGCACACAGCAGCCAGACTTGGACACAACTAACCTTGGCTGGGATGTGAGCCTGCAAGGGGAAAAGCAGGGGCCCTGTATCAAAACAGAGAAGTAATAAAAACACAGAAGTAATAAAAACACACGGATTACTGTCATTTTTCTGAGTAGAGACCTTTTACGTACCTTGATGAAGCATTGCCACACACACCTGGGACTGCCAGCTCCAGGGGGAAAGGCGGGCAGGGCCCAGGCAGAAGAGGGGGCAACCAGGACTGTGGGGTGAGGCTGCTGGGCACTGCCTGCCAGATGTGGGGTGAGGGTGCTGGGCATTGCCTGCCAGATGTGGGGTGAGGCTGCTGGGCACTGCCTGCCAGATATGGAACAAGGGTGCTGGGCACTACCTGCCAGCTGTGTGGAAGCTCAGGGCAGGCTGGCATGACAGATCAAGGCAGAGCTGCTCTGCACACCTTCTGTAAGGGCCCCGCCTCTGCCAGCTGCAGCAGAGCTGCAGGATGGGTGTCCGTGGAGGAGGGACAGGGATGGGTGTCCATGGAGGACAGACAGGGATGGGTGTCCATGGAGGAGGGACAGGGATGGGTGTCCATGGAGGAGGTGCCCACACTTGCTGGTGCAGATGAGCTCTTAGTGCCAGGGAAGCGTTGGGATGGAGCTTCCCCCACTCCAGGGGATCCCCTCATTGCCCTGGACGGCTGAAATGTCAGTACAAACCCATCCTAAAGGTTCATCCCTCAAAAACCCCGCATCTCAGGGCACAGAAACAGCCTGTCAGGAAAGCTCTGCTCCTCCCACGCGGTGGAGGGCTGGTGGCTGCGGTCCCCGTGCCTCTCCTGGCGGACAGACAGCGACAGGGAAGGGCTGCACACAGCAGCACCACGACAAGGGATTCAGATGTCTGTGCTTCAGCTCCGAGTTCCTTGGGAGAACCCCTCCGGGCTAAGGGGAGGAAAAACGTTCCAAAAGCACAGTAGGCGAGGGGGAAAGCTCTCTGCCTTTTCCTGAGGAAAATACCTGCGCCCCCATGTGCTCACTGGCCGAGGCGCGGTGACCAGCGCGGGGAGCGGGTGTCTCAAAGCCTCTTCCCCTTTTCCTGCTCACGGTCACCGCGCCGAGTGCTTGAAAACAAAGCACGTTTCGCTTCCTCCGGCAGCGCTTTCTGACGCTTCTGAAACCCGGTGACTCATCTGCAAACAAGCTGAGGGCAGAAATAAACGACACCTCTCACCAGAGCACAAAGCAGGACCCCGGGGCGAGCTGCTCCAGCGGCCCCGTTCCCCTGAGCTGCTCTGTGCCCTGCACAGACACACACCCTGCATCCCGGCAGGGACCCCTCATCCCCGTCAGGGCTCACAGGTGCCCGGGCAGAGCAGCCCCGGCAGGGCTCGGAGCTGGTTCGGGGCAGCACGCAGCTCTCCGGAGCCCGGGGCTGGAGGAGCAGCACGCAGCTCCCCGGGGCCGTGCTGGCCGGGGGATGGCGCCGATGCTCACCGTGAGCCCCATCGGACCCGGGCACAGCCACCGCCTTGACGGTGACACCGGCCTGGAGATGGGCAGGGACCAGAGAGAGCACGAGTAACTGCTGCAATGCAAAGTTCTTGTTAAGGGGGAAAAACCAACCCACAGTATCCTTCAAAAGCCACCGAAGTTTCTCGGGTCACAGCACGGCAGATTTCATTTTGACGCGCATTAAGTTAAAATCTGACTTAAATTCCCGGATTATGGCTGTGTCAGGGGGATTTTCAGGCATGCACACTCCAGAATTGAGTACTCAGAGTGGGCCGGTGCCACTCAGGTTTGCAGCACTGAAAATCTCACTAGGGGGAAGAGCAGGATCAGGAGTGCTGTGTGAAAGGGAGCTGGGGGAGAGCTCACACTGGTGTAGGTGCAAGAGACATGAAGAAAGGGTTCTACAGGCTCAACCCTCCTCCCCTCACACGATGAAGATAAAAACAGTTTCAGGCCACAGGAGCACAAGGGCAGAGTATGCTGAATTTATTAAAATTGCCACGTCTTCCCCAAATCCGCATACAAAATACAACAGCTAAACCATTATTTACATCCAGGCAGCTGCAATATCAAGCAATAACTTTAGCAATAGTTTTAAAAATAACTCTGCAGTTTACACAGATCAGATATTTCACAACACGAGGGTTGAAGTTAGCATTGCACTGCTATACTTAGTTCAGAAATATAACAGTGTTCCAGATAAAATACTCACGCTTCTTTTAAAAACAGACAACTGAGGAAATGGTTTTCAGATTGACAAAACATGACACGTTTTTCTTAGGGACTGAGAATCACAGCAGGCTTAGACACAATGTCATAGCTACATTCAAAACGCATCTGGTCCATTTATGCCAAAAGTACATTCAGTGTAAGTTACAATTTATTGCACAT